GGTTACTAATGTTCAGGAAAAAAAATGTTAAGTAAACTATTTTATATACAGGCTGACACCTTAAAATGTATTATGTACTGATTGTGAGGCTATATAGGGATCTATTTAATATAAAGTGAAAATTTAAAGTAGCAATTCACCACAGTCCAGGTCAGGTTTGCGTATTCTTGACAGATGTTTGCACTGTTACATTATTATATGTGTATCATCTGTTAGAGCATTGTACATCATTACTCTGCAATACGTTTTTGCATCCTCTTCTTATGTACTTACTTATTACAATGGTACAAAGACCAATGATGTGCTGTAACCCATGGCAACCATGCAATCAAGTGTTTAAAGTCTGGCCAGGTGGAAGTTGTGGTATGATGTGTTGGTGTAGTATACCGCACATCAATGCTATCGTCATTAGTGTCTGTGAGTACTTGTTTGGCTGGGTACCTACTGTTTTATTAACTGCAATGCACAGTGGGGGGAATTTATCAAAACTGGAGCAGGCAGAATCTGGAGCAGTTACCCATAGTAACCAATCAGCTTCTCTCTTCAGTTTGTTCAGTTCAGCTGAAAGAGAATGAAAGAGAGAAGCTGATTGGTTGTCATGAACATCTGCTCCAGTTTTAATAATTTTTCTTAATATGTTTTATATAGAGTCCAAGTTTCAGAGCTTGTTAAAATGATCAGGCAAACCATGGTATAAAATAACTGTAGCAGTCATATCACCTACCTAGCATTTTTATAGTCTGTTTGTTATTCTTGTCCCTATGGGAGGCATTTGGTCCTATAGAGTCCCTCTTTCTCCGCCACAGTTTTCTTCCAATAAGACTGTAGAGGACAGTGAGGCAGAAGACAGGCAAGAAGAAGAAGACACTGGATGTCCAGACCATGATAGTGAGCAGACCCGACTTCACAGCATACTCTGTAGCTTTACATTCATTTGTCTCTATAGGATTGGTACCATTCTCATGTTCAACCCCAACTAAGACAAAGATGGGTCCAGCACTGACAAAGGACACTGCCCATAGCACAAAGATCACCAGCTTTACCTTGCCCTTAGTGATGACCACCTTGGCTTTGAGGGGAAAGCAGATGGCAAAATACCTCTCCACACTCAGGGCAGTGATATTCAGGATTGTGGAGTAAGTGCAACTTTCACTGATAAACTGGAAGAGCTTACACAAGAGGTTCCCAAAATTCCAGGGTCGGTACTGCCATAGTCTGTACAGGTCAAGAGGCATGCACACAAAGATGAGCAGGTCTGAAAATGCCATACTAGACAAATATAGATTGGTTGTAGTCTTCATATCTTTGTACTTGGACACCACCAACATAGTCATGATGTTCCCAAAAATCCCAATGATGAACAGCAATATGCAAGTGACAGTTATTCCTGTGAGGACTGGCACTGGGAAGAGATAGACTGGATCTTCAGACCAGGAGTGATTGTAGTAGTAATAATCCATGGTGCTGTTTTCTGGGGGGAAGGTCTTATTGGCCATGGATCGTACCTGGTTGAGGATATGATAGTGAGCCAGTCTTGCCTCCATGGTTGTCAATGATTCTCTGGCATTTCTTCATTTCTACTGTACTGATGTACAAGCTTCAAGTAAAACTGGTGGAACAAGTATCAGCAAGGTGCAAGCTTGCAGTGGTGACAGGTGCAATGCACAGTTCTTCATTTTCATACATGCCTGTGATCTGAATATTAATTATGACTGCAGGTTGCCCCCAGAATTAAGTCCACGTCCATCCTTAAGTTTTATAGCAGATTTTCTGTAGAAAATGATTGTTTGAAGGTGAAGCATCCATTTGTTTGAAAGTCTGCACCAGGTGGTAGTATTCCTGGGACATGCTCCTGATGGGATGGATGGGTTCCTATAGATAGTACTGGGGCACTCTCCAGGAAATCCCAGGCAGGGAAGTGTTCACATCCTTGCAGAGTGCAGCACTGTGTCTCCAGAGCTTGCCTGGTGTAGAGAAGCTGATGAAAGGAGTTTAGCAGCACGCCCATTCTTCCTCCCCTGTTCTACATCTCATCCTGATCCCAGAGATCCACAAACACTCTCAGCCCATTCACAATCTGGGAGACAGGGAACACACAGAAATCTCTTCTCTCACACAAAGCTATTTGATTGTGTTCATTTCATAGCAATAATGTAATAATGTAATCAAAACAGAAGAAAATGGTAAAAATAAGTGAGATGGATCTATTGACTTTAGTACATTGGGTAAACATGGAGTGTGTGTGTGTGTGTTGTATTAATAGGGGGTAGCAAACTGTTGTTTGGCCAATTCAGAAAAGAAAAAGCCCCAGTGTGTTATCTTTTATTGGTGCTGATAATATTCCAGGTTATCGCACTGCAGCTAATGAAGCAATCTGTCTTTCACTAGCATTGACATGGTGGCAGCTGTACAATTTGGCCAATCTTACAACTGGGAGTTCATGTTTGCTGACAAAGTGAACACCACTTTCTGCACCCAGTGGCAGCTGCATCATGTAATATTTATATTCCAAACCAAGGAACAATTTAGAGGAGCCAAAAAGCAGGACACAAATGTCAACAGAATCAGAGTGTGTGATTGAAAGCAACGCTTCGTCCTTTCAATAAAGTATATTACAACGCACAACATGTATTGGCAAGCTTATCTGTACTGATACACATTATTTATACCATCCATATGTTGAATAGGATTTCATTTCCTGATGATTGTCAGTGTGGACATAATAAAGATATGAGAAATGTAACTCAATAGCTGCTGTACTTTGACTGACTTGTTTAAAGAAGAACTCTGGCCATGTCAAAAGCTAACCCCCGCACTGCAAGTGTTAAGTGATCATTTTAGTCTATGGTCTAAAGTAAAAAGATATACTCACCTGATCCTCGGTCCCACCCGACTGCTAGACCATCCCCTGCTGCCTCTCCTCCCCCGAGCTCCGACAGTATTCATAATGTCATTACGTCCATTGACTTGCACTGAACGTGAGGACGCTAAGGCACATTCCACAGCTGGAGTGAGTGGTCACCTCGGGACCGAGGAACAAGGCAGTTCATCTTATTTATTTTACACCCTAGACCAGGGGTGGGCAACTCTGGCTCTCCAGCTGTGCTTTAACTACAAATCCCAACATGCCCCTGGGAGTCATGCCTGTAACTGTCAGTCTTGCAATTTCTTATGAAACTTGTAGTTCTACAGCAGCTGCAGGGCCGGAGATGCCCACAACGGTCCTAGACAAAAATTAGCATTTAGGGGAGGGGGCAGGCAAAACTGACTCTGGCTCAAGATAGGCAGAGCCAGCTGTCAATCAGGCAACGAGGTGAAACAATATTGTTGGGATCCTTCCTGGCTGAAACACGGCTCTGCACTGTCAGCAAATAAAGGGCAGTAGCCCGTTATATGTTGACTTTGTGGGTAAATGTACTCCTTTGACCCAAAAGAGGACAGAAGCCAAAAAAAGGTTTGGCTTTAGTTCCCTTTAAGTCCCCATTCACATCTAGGCATACTGGGATTGCGTGCCATGTTCACGCACATTCTTTTTACTGCATTTGCCGCACATCCCTATTTGTTTCAGAGGGTGCTGCATACGCGACAAATGCGGCAAAGTAGCTCACAAAGCAAATTCCGCTACAGACGTCCTGCGTTTTTTCTCTATCCGTTTGTGTGCATTTTAACACGTGTGGATGCACAGGAAAAATGCACATTTTCTCAGACGCTTTTGGGTGGCATTAACATTAACAAGTAATGGCACCACAAGCATGTTGCACATTTTTGACATGTCAAAGCATGGATTTTGACATGATGCATTGACGTGTCACAAGCATTGATGTGACACGACGCATTGACGTGTCACAAGCATGTTGCACATTTTTGACATGTCAAAGCATGCATGTTTTACCATGTTTGGTGCAACTTATTATTGTTATGCCAAAGCTAGGTACAATGTTTTCACAATTCTATCTGTGGGGACAGGTATTGCTACGCTTCATTTTCATCACAAGTAATTGAAGTGCTTTCACATACCTGCACTAGCCACTTCACCCAAATGCTGGACTGATCTAATCAGGAAAAGCTCCAAAACTTCCTACTGAGCCATCACTATGAACTGTGTGGGAAATTCTGAAGCTTTGGTCAGAGTGGCCCAGAAGTCAGGCAAGGCAGAGCATACTGAATGCTGCTAAAAGTAGGTGTACCTCCTGGTGCCTGTACTTCATACCTCACTTGTTCTGCCTGATGAAGGGGATCCTGTGTGACCCTGAAACGTTGCAATAAGTGTATTGTTGCATGACACGTCAATAAAAGACGTTATTCTACTTTGGAGTGCCGGTGTCCATAATTCCCTATACTCTATTCAGACGGTGGCCATCCGTCGACTACTGATGCACCCAACCTATCATCACGGACTAAGCGGTAAGGAGTGCAATGGGTACACTGACTGTACTTCATACCTATCACCAGCTTTCAGTATTATTAAAGTAGCAGAGCCTCTTGAAAGCTGATCTCCAGCCCCCTCTTTATTTCCCCCACCTCCTCTGAATGCTGGCATTGCAAAAAAAAAAAAAAAACCACAAAACTTAAATCTAAATGCTCTTTTTACTCACCTAAAAGCCACAGTCACATGACCCTCCACTCCCGATTCTTCCCTCTTCTTCTGTTTAAAGGAAACAGGGTCCTTTTTGGGTGTCTACATTCCTATTGGCTGTTCAGTGGCAGAGTCCTCTCAGGATCCAGAAGAGGAGTCTGCAGTGGTAATGTCATTGTGAAAGGACTGTTAGGGACCGGCCAGTGTAGGCACATCTGCAGCCCTGGATTAACATTCCTCTGCATCTGGAACCAGGGCTGGCGAGGGACCTGGATGGTGACTTATATCTTGCTTTACAAGGTAAAAATAGAAATGAAGAAAACCCGGCAGCATGTGTAAAGGGGGTGGGTGGTAGAAGGGAAGGCGGTTAATATTTGACCGGAAATACTTCAAGAACAATATTTAATTATAATTTTAAAAAATTGGTGTCCTGACCCAGTGGAGCACCCAGTAGCACTCTCACTAGATTAGATATATTGGATGTAAAGCAACCAGAATTGTTACTGCTATAAATCACTGCTGGGCCTGATTTATCAAACCGCAATAATGCCTTTGGCGAAGTTCACTCTGACATTGAAAGAAAATCTTGTTTAAATGTTTGTGAAGCATTTATGGTGTTATTAGGTGTTTCAGATAGGTTTTGGATGCATTTGGGAGGCTTTTGTAAAGTGTTGACTGAAGATTTAAGAAAAAAAACTAAAAACTTTTGAATGTCAAACAAATGCTTGCCAAACACTTTAAGAGCATCCAAACATGTTTAGAGCTTGCTGTTGTAGATTTGAATTCAAGCTTTTCAAGTTGCCAGCGACTACCAAATGTTGCAGGTGAGACTAGAAACAACACAAGTGAAGCAAAGTGAGCAAAGCACAATATGATGTGTGTGCACTTGACCAGCTTTTCTGGGGTGCCTACTGCCTTCCTCAGTGGTGCCTTAAAATTTTAGCACAGCATCATCTCTTAACATGGAGCAAGGAGGCTCATGGTGTGAAGGGGAACTCTGATGTAAAATGGGGGCTCTGGTGTGAAAGAGGGGCTCCTAATGTGAAGGGGACTCTTGATGTAAAGGGGAGTTCCTAGTATAGTGTGGGAGGGGTGTGTGTAAAAGGAAGGGGCTCCTAATGTGAAGGGGTACTTTATTGTGAAAAGCAGGATTCTAATGTAAAAGGAGGGGGACGGGACTCTGATTTGCCCGGAGATGCTGATGTGAAGGAGGGAACCCTAGTTTTTGTTTTTTGCATGAGGTCCCTCCCCTTTTAAAACCCATATCAAACCCCTATCTGGGACTGGGGATGTTTTTACCATTTTTGGCGAGATTTTGCATACTTTTAAAGGGTGCCATAACTGAAACAATCTTGAGAAACACTGCAATAGAATGCTCATTCTTATGCTACAGAACAAGTATTGGCTTTGCCATGAGCTTGGAAAGCTTCATAAATGCAAAGCAAATATCTGTTCTTTACGTTTGTGTAAACAAGACATTAGGCATGTACATTTACACATCACCAACATATATATCATATCTAAACTACTTCACTACTGATCGGTCATTCACTCGGCTGCCCTCGGCAGCTTTGTGAATAGACCCCATAATTTTAATAGCGATAACATTTTGCTTATCCATTTGAGTTCCCACATCTGTTTACCTCTTATGGACCAAAGAAATCATTACATGTCTGCTATGGGCCTTTTTATTCAGCAATAACTTTGTAATTAAATATGAGACCAAAGTAATACATATATGGTTTTTTTTCAAGACAAACTAAGCTTTCTTATGGAAAAAATGATTTACAAAAAACTATTTTCTATGTAATCTATAGGCAAAAAAAAAAAAATGTAGCAAGATTTAAATATTATTTTTTTAAATTCTAGTTTGACCCCTTTAAAAAAAAAAAATAGTGTTACTGTAGACGGAAAATTACACTTACTTTAATTAACCTTGTCTGTAGTGTGCAGGCAGATTTCATTATCAGTTGTAAACTAGATTTGAACAAT